ATGCGAAGTTCAATCAGGGACGCGAAAGTTTTCAGCTAAGCACTCACAGAGTTGACCCGGCAGATGTTTGAGAGTGTGGATCAGCCGGGACTGGATCTGCAGCGTGGCTTAACTTACTTACTGCCTGTTGCGACGGCCGACGCTGGAGGAATGTCCATTCCTTTGCGTTAAGATGGCAGCATTGCCTTGTCCATATCTCTATGGCAGGAATTATTGAATGGTCCGGTTTAAAGATACCGCGGAAGTAGATTGCGGATGTTTCGCCCGGGGTGGCGATGACCCGTTTGTTTGGCCTGACGCCCATGGGATGATACCGGGTTGCGGAAAAGATTCCTAATTCTGGACGAAAGATTCTCTATCGAAAACAGGAAGAGCTAGATTCGGACATGGCCAAATGCTGCAAACTGCCAATGGATCGAGGTAAGACTGCTGAGTCTATATATACCCTCTTATCATTGGTTGCTGATTGCTGATTGCCGTCCACTCGTGTTAATTATCTGAACGTGCTCCTCCCGAACTTAGTTATTAACAAAACTTCATTTAACAGAAAAGAGGTCGACATGGATACTGGCAAGTCATCCTGTGTGCGTAAAGAGAAATGATGTAGAACAATGGCAATGATCAATGCGTCCAGCACATCTTGAATGAAAGTGTTGCATGGCCTATAGTTGTCCCCCAAAGCTGATTTAGTCACATGGGTCCTGTGGACAACATTTCTCAGGTGGAAAAAAGAACCAAAATCACACTGTGAACTAGGACTGTAGAATCTTTTAAAAATCACATCATTGAAGTTCATGGAACAATGAAAATCCGCAATAACTGGAACAAGTCCTTCCAATCTTTCAAATGATGAGTCTTCATTTGCTTTAGCTCTAATGGCTGCATCAGCATTCTGCTTGGTCAGTTGATCACCAGCTTGTTTTCTTTTTCTAGATCAGAAATGTAAGGAACATATCGCTGTTAGATGTACTGCACTGCCTTCACCATATCTGCAGAAACCTTCTCATCCACCTCAAGAAGTACCATGGGAGTGATTTCAGTTGTTGGGCCATAACGTCACTGTACATATGAGGAATGTGCCACAGTAAAACGTTTGAAAACTGCTTGAATGCGGTGAAACGCTGAACCACTAAACGACCCACCAGTTCTTTAAAGGGCACCTATTATGCCCCTTTTTACAAGATGTAATATTGGTCTCGGGTGTCCCCAGAATGTATTTGGAAAGTTTCAGCTCAAAATACCACACAGTTAATTTATTATAACCATTTGAAAATGTCATTTTTGGGGCCTGATTAAAAATGAGCTGTTTTGGTGTATACATCCTTAAATGCAAATGAGCTGCTTATGTGCTGAGTGGTCTGGCGTCTCCTAGAGGAAGGTTGGATATTGTCAGAGCACAGGAAGTTGTAGACCTTTCCTTGCTGATAATCATCCACATCCCTTTTGTATTTTCAATCAATCAATTTTGTTAAAAACTCTACATACCTCATCTGCTGTAATAGCAGTACCATACCATATACCAATACCGTACTGTATCTGCTGTCTAATGGTATCACGCTCCAAAAGAAAGTCTGATGTTTCGAATCGTGCATAAAAATCATTCAGTTCATCTGCAAATGCTTGATCATCTCCATTTGTATCTATGTGCCTTTTCTTCGCTGCCTTTCCCTATCATTGTAAACATTCCTTGCCATAATTGTTTCAAGTTATTCACCCTCATTTTCGCCTCAATATGCAGTTTATATTTCTGTTTACAACTATTTGTTATCTGTCTAATCTCCTTATGAATTGCTTTCATTTTTAACCTGTCTCCCTGTTCAAAAGCTATCCTTTTCCTGTGCAGTGCAACTTTTAATTCTTTGTTTTGGAAGAAAATACCTAGAGATCAGACCTATTGGAACTTTAATTGAATACATAGCATTGGTAAAGCATACTGAATTTACAGCCCTACAAATGTATTAGGGCCTACTGAAAAAGAATGTATCGAATCAAAATTTCGCAAAGTAGTCTAATGTTAAGAATTCAATTCAATCAACTTTATTAATCCCACAATGGCAATTCTATGGAGCGATTTATGTGCCGAAACCTCACACACAAACAAAACGTGTTTTACTCACACCCAATGATTCACAAACAAACTCAGTGTGGTTTGTAAATACAAAACATCACTCACAAACTAATGCGTATTGTTCTGCAAATAAAAAACGTACCTATCAAACAAATACAATATGTTTTACATATACATAGAAATGTATTTCTTCAATAACAAAAATATCCTCCAAGTACAAACTAAAATCTTTCAAGTACAAAACAAAATTCTACAAGTACGAAACAAAAACCTTCAAGTACAAAGCAAAATTCTACAAGTACGAAAAACTGTCACGTGACTATTGGCACTATTTTTCCGCGTCCAACTTAGGCAGATTTTCTCACAAATATATGTTCACGCGGATTTTCTCACAAATGCAGTTGATCAAATTCCTCTTCCAAAACAGTAGATGGCGCACCGGATTAATTTAGTGCTAGTCCTCCCGGGAGAAGCAGTGATCGTTTGAAACGCGTTCTTATGAGGTGCCCCTAGGGACATTATTCAGAAATGCCATGCATATACATGTACTTTTCCTCTCACATACACATATGAAACCAAATTCATTCACATACTATAATGAAATGCTCACACACATACAAGTGAAATGCTTTTACACACACAACTGAAACGCTCTCATACATACAAGTAAAAAATATACGCTCACACACACAACTGAAACGCTCACACACACACAACTGAAAAGCTCTCTCACACACAAGTGAAACCCTCACACACACACAACTGAAACGCTCACACACACACACAACTGAAAAGCTCTCTCACACACAAGTGAAACCCTCACACACACACAACTGAAAATATTACGCTCACACACACACAACTGAAACGCTCACACACACAACTGAAAAGCTCTCACACACACAACTGAAACGCTCTCACACACACACAACTGAAACGCTCACACACACACAACTGAAATCCTCTCTCACACACAGCTGAAATGCTCTCTCACACACAACTGAAACGCTCTCACACATACAAGTGAAATGCTTTTACAAACACAACTGAAACGCTCTCGCTCACACAACTAAAAAAGCATTTCGGTTGTGTGTGTGTGAGAGCATTTCCGGTATGTTGTATGCAAGCATTTCAGTAGTGTGTGTGAGAGAGAATTTCAGTTGAAACGGAAGCACATTTCAGTTGAAACGGAAGGTGGTTGAAGTCCCCAGTCCAGTTGGTGGCAGTAGTGCACCTCAAGACGAAGAACTAGAAGCTGTAGAAAGTAAAAACGCGCGCAGCCGCGCACCTTTAACAAAGCACCGTTCGTTTGCTCGCAATCGCGCTACGTAACAGCAATGTCTGCTCAACAGCAAAGAACATTAACCGAGGCAGCGGGCTTGCTGAGCACCATATTAGCCCCAGCGGAGTCCATACGAACCCAGTTGGCAATAAGTGACCTGCAGTTGGCATTGGCACGCCGCTACGCTGGCGGGTAGGGAAGAGCGAGGCTAGGTGGCTGTCCATCGTGTCCACCACACTTGGAGTTGCAACGGTCGGTTGCTGCCCGAGTGTGGTGGCATTTGACAGGGTTCGTATGGACTCCACTGAGGCTAATATGGTGCTCAGCAAGCCCGCTGCCTCGGTTAATGTTCTTTGCTGTTGAGCAGACATTGCTGTTACGTTGCGCGATTGCGAGCGAACGAACGGTGCTTTTTTTTTTTTTTTTTTTACTTTATTCTGAACAATACACAGGACAATAGGTACAGACAACACTACAGATAATGTAACCTGTTCAACAAAATTAAATCAATAGTGTATAGACCAGAGGATAATAACAAATAAATTAATATAATTATAGAAGGGGAAAAAAATTAAAAAAATATGCAGTTCCTTCAGGAGATGAAATGTTCTTGTAGCTTTCATGTTTTCCATGTTTTCTATTGTTTTATAATATAATTTAAAGTCCAAATGAAATGCCTTAAAACAAGGTTGTGAATTAGACCATTTACATTTGTGAATATGGTATTTTCCAAGGATAATAAACAACTGAATGACAAAAATCATTTTTTTTGGACAAACCACAAAAGTCAAAGTATAGCATGACATCAAAAATATTGATTCTGATGTTTACATTCAATTTTGTAATTATATATTCTTCCAAATCAGACCAAAATTGTTTTGTGTACATACAGTGATAAAATAAATGAAAAATTGTCTCCTTATTAGATTGGCAAAAAACACAAGACTCTTCTATGTTTATTTTAAATCTTCTTAAAGTATCTTTAACAGGATAAATTTGAGGCAAATTTTTAAATGAAACTTCTTTCACTTTATTATTAATACAGTATTTGTGACGAACGGTGCTTTGTGAAAGGTGCGCGGCTGCGCGCGTTTTTACTTTCTACAGCTTCTAGTTCTTCGTCTTGAGGTGCACTACTGCCACCAACTGGACTGGGGACTTCAACCACCTTCCGTTTCAACTGAAATTCTCTCTCACACACACTACTGAAATGCTTGCATACAACATACTGGAAATGCTCTCACACACACTACTGAAATGCTTGCATACAACATACTGAAATGCTCTCACACACACACAACCGAAATGCTTTTCAGTTGTGTGAGCGAGAGCGTTTCAGTTGTGTTTGTAAAAGCATTTCACTTGTATGTGTGAGAGCGTTTCAGTTGTGTGTGAGAGAGCATTTCAGCTGTGTGTGAGAGAGGATTTCAGTTGTGTGTGTGTGTGAGCGTTTCAGTTGTGCGTGTGAGAGGATTTCAGTTGTGTGTGTGTGAGCGTTTCAGTTGTGTGTGTGGGAGCGTTTCAGTTGTGTGTGTGAGAGCTTTTCAGTTGTGTGTGTGTGAGCGTTTCAGTTGTGTGTGTGTGAGCGTAATATTTTCAGTTGTGTGTGTGTGTGTGTGAGAGAGAGCTTTTCAGTTGTGTGTGTGTGTGAGCGTTTCAGTTGTGTGTGTGAGCGTATATTTTTTACTTGTATGTATGAGAGCGTTTCAGTTGTGTGTGTAAAAGCATTTCACTTGTATGTGTGTGAGCATTTCATTATAGTATGTGAATGAATTTGGTTTCATATGTGTATGTGAGAGGAAAAGTACATGTATATGCATGGCATTTCTGAATAATGTCCCTAGGGGCACCTCATACGTTCGAGCTTCCCTTTGCCACAGCGGTGAAAATGAGCGGTGAACAACAGGTGAGTTATGTCTTACAGTCTCTATAATTTACCTTTTGAGGTTTTCTTTGCCAAATGATTGTTACATATATAGACAGAAATCCGCATTAGTACTCTCTCTAGGATAGGGGAATCTATAAGCTGAAAGCTCTGCCATCATATGTTGCTTTTTATATTTTTTTCAACACCAGACTCGTTCAAAATGACTAAATTAATATGTATACACAGAACGAGTCTATTTCTTTCGTTCTCCATAGATGTATGAGAACAATAAATTTAATTGAAAGGAGGATTTAATTTTTCTTTCTAAAATAACCATTTGGGCACTACATAGGTCACCGGCAAGTTAAGAAACAATTGTATATTTTTTGTTTCGTTCATTAATTATTTTATTACATTAACAAGGTTGTCAGTGGACGGGTAGCTACAGAGTGAAATATGTTTTTATCATGTTTTTTAATTATTCCATTAAAGGTTTCTAATGGTACTCAAAGTACCACTGTAGTGTACCACCCTTTCTAAAACATTACAGTCTTGTATTCTATATTACATTTTGTTTAAACCATTTACACGTTTTTTTTATTATTAATGTTTAATATATTGCAGTTAAAATCAATAACTATCTGTCTGTGTCTGTCCATTGATGTCCCAGGTGGTTCGCATAATGATGGAGCGGCTTCGATCTCGACTTGAGCACATTCTCAATCGGCAACCTCTGGACCTAGACTATTTACAGTTCATATGCACACAGGAGATGGTGTTGTTCAGTGCATTTTCTAATCAGATTTATCTTCCTGAGAGTATTGTGAATGGTCTAGCAGAACTGTACAGATTAGTAACTGAGGAAAAATCAAATCAAGTCGTGGAAGTGTTCATTCAAGTCACTCATGGAGCAGCTGGACGTCCACGCTTTGATGTGTCGCATGATTACCTGCTGCATCTACTCCATCAAGGTCTCACTGTGTCATGCATTGCCAGTGTTCTCGGAGTGTCTAGGCGGACAGTGTACAGACGAATGGCAGATTTAAACATCACTGTTCGAGGTCTTTACAGCACTTTATCAGACGCAGAACTTGATAACCTTGTTGGTGAAATCAAAGAAAGCATGCCACATGCAGGTTATCGGCTTGTTAAGGGGAGTTTGCAAGCCAGAGGTCATAGGGTTCAGTGGGAGAGAGTTAAGGCCTCAATGCATCGTGTTGACACCATGGGTATCCTTTCCCGTTTGAACATGCTAGGGTGTGTTGTGCGGCGCAAATACTCCGTTCCTGGACCAAAAGCACTTGTACACATCGATACCAACCACAAACTGATCCGGTGAGTGAGTGTCTATCTGTCCCTGTATCTTCCTTTCTGTATCAATCAATCTATCTCAAACTTGTCAGTGTAGGTGATTTGGTTGTTTTAAAAAAAAGCTTAATTCTAAAATGAGTTGTCTATTGAATAACTAGGTACAATATAGTCATCTTTGGTGGCATTGATGGATTTTCCAGAAAGGTAATATCTTATAAAAAACACTTTTTAACACAAGGTCAGCTTGACCAAACACGTTTAACTCATTTTATCTCCTGCTTTTTTCCCCGATAGATCATGTACCTAGGTGCCGCAAATAACAATCTGTCATCTACAGCCTTGGCTTTCTTCCAGCAGTCCATTGAACATTATGGATTTCCACTGAGGTATTTTAATAAACAACCAAAACAACTATAGATGCAGCAACATCTCAATAGGAAATGCCCACTCACATAATAACATACTGTTCCTCTGCATTTAAACTGTAAGGTGCGCTAAATCGAACCAATGGTGGTATTCAATCAGCGGTCGAAGTTCTCACGTGTGTTCCATCTTTTCTCATGGTAAAGGGATTTTGATTAAATCCAATACATTTTCTCAAGCATTAAAGGATAGATCTATCCTATAGATAGATCTATCTCTATATCTATCTCAAGTGGAAAATGTAAAGTTTAAATGCAGAGGAACACTCACATGTGTACTGTATGAGTGTGTGTTTAGTCTTTCGGTTAACATTAAACTGTATTGAGCTGAATTTTTACATGCTGCAGTTTTCAGAGTTTTATTTGGGTGTCCAAATAAAACTGACATGTCTGACATGTATAAAGGGTTAGTTCACCCACAAATTATCATTTTTTTTTCATCATTTACTGACTCTCATGTCTTTCCAAACAGTATGACTTACTTTCTTCTGTGGAATATAAACAATGTGTTGTTAATAACACCGTTTTGATTCCCATTTATGGACCAGAAAGTCAATGGGAATTTAAACTGTTTTCTTACTGACATTCTTCAAGATTCTTATTTTGTATTCCACATAAGAAAGACAATCATGCAGATTATTTAACAACATAATGGTGAGTAAATTATGAAATAATATCATTTTTGGGTTAACTATCCTGACTATTTTTATATGAAGTGACATAAAAAAGGCTTTGACAGGAAATTGTTGGAAATGCTGCATGTATTCACTTCTTATATTTATGTTTAGCATGATTACTGTTTATCAATTATTCTTTAGAGTAAGAGGTGACCATGGCGTAGAGAATGTCGACATAGCACGTCTGATGTTCACCGTACGGGGCACAGGAAGGTCCAGCTTTATTGCTGGAAAGAGCGTCCACAATCAGAGGCAGGTAGTTTTTCCTCTTCTCTTCGAATGTATTGCTATGGTCTTTTTTTGTTGCTTTTGATGTTTGTAGGACTTTGGTTGTCTATAGGATAAATTTTGTTTAAAGATTAATTGCTTTTAAATGGCAGATGTATCATGTTTCCTGACATTATTTTAGGGTCTTAAAAATATAATTCTAATGAGACTCGTAAAAGTATAATTGTACTTTATCTGTTAATCACTTAAAAAAAATGTTAGTGGCACTTTTAATTATTTGCCATACCTTTCTTAGATAAAAGTAATGATGTATCTACATGAAACAATATGTTTGTAATGAGACTAACTTAATTTAAATAAAAATTTACATTGACAATAATTCATTATAAAATATCACTTTTTCAGGATTGAGAGACTGTGGAGAGACGTGTGGTGTGCTGTAACCACCATATACTATAGTGTGCTGCACTCACTGGAAGATGATGGGTTCTTTGACCTATCTAACAACATGCATCTTTTTAGTTGCCATTATGTGTTCTTGCCCAGAATACAAGCTAGCCTGGACGCATTTCATAATGGATGGGATAACCACCCTATTCAAACCGAGGGGAACATGACACCCAATCAGCTCTGGGAGATGGGAAGCATGCGGTGGCAGAGCCAGAGTTTGAAAACACTGAGGTAACAAAATGGCATCAAACAAATCGCTGCAACAAGATTAAAAAGTGTAAGCTATTCTAGCTTTTGTAGAAGATGGAAATTTGACCTTGCTGACCCAGCTATTGTTATTCAGATATTTTGTTAATGGGGTCATGAACTGGCTTTTTATATTGTTGTTTGAGGTCAACTTATGACGTTCGCTTGGTTTTTGCATTTAAAAACATCAAAATGAATAAGTAATAGGCTATTTACTACCCAAGTTTTGAGCCTAGCTCAACAATTCTTGGTTTTTATGGGCGTCTGCACTGAAGACTTGGAAGTAAACGCCCACTGATGTGAGTGGATAACAGTTTTGCATATTATAATGAGCTATGTGTGTAATGCGTGAATTGGTGGGCAGGGCAAAACCAGCCGTGTTGAAGTAGGGGTTGATCATCTGCTGTGGGGGTGGTGTTTTATCCTCTTTGACAGAGCCGAGTTTGCTGAGCCTGGTGTCAATAAAAGCTTTGATTGGACTAACAAGGATGTTTTCAGTTTCGAAACTTACAGGATATTCTTATAATATGATGACCTCTTAGATGTCAAAAGCTCAAGGAAAATTTGATTTCTCAGTTCATCGCCCCTTTAAGCTATGTTATATTACTTGCTGATATAAATTTATTTATAAATAAAATACTGATTAATCCGTTTTAGGAACTGTCCCTTCAACACCTTGACTGGGAAGATTGTGGCCTGCCTTATGATTCACTACATGGAGTCATTGTTCCCACGGCTGACAGCCTGTTGACCCCAGAAGAGCTAGCAGGACTTCAAGCAGCCATTGATCCCATGGGACCCTCAACATCATATGGCAGAGATATCTATCTGGCAACCACTCACTACATACAGCACATACTGGGCAAACACTGAAGAACTGTTTTATTGTTTTTCTTTTCAACCTTTTGTCCATGTTGAATTTTAAGTAAACAAAAAGACTTACTGTATGTAAAAATACAAAAACTACAGTTATGTCATTAACAGGTTTATAACATATCACTGCATAAACAGTGAAGAACAGTTTGGTAATTATTTTCAACCTCTGTAGTGCTTTTATTTTTTCAAATAAATCAAGTAAAAAAAAGTGTCTGTGACTGCACATGTTAAAAAAAAAAAAAAAAAAAAACTGAAATTAATAACTATATAAACAATTCCACCACACTATCCATGAACATGGTTCGATAGAATCAATGGATATAGATGGTTAATAGAACAAGAAATAGACCTAAACTGTTAAAGAACTGTTGCACCACTATTACACCAGCCCAAATCCTGTATTGACTGTATTTATGCATGCAAGTAATTCTTTCTTGAATGCTGTGTAATCAGTGTATCGGGATGGAAGACGTAGGGTCTCAAAACATGTGGATGCCTTGGGGAGGTTAACTCCGGATACCTCCAGTTTGAGGGAAGTAGTGGGAACCTCCCAACCGACCCAGAATTTGACAAGGGCCTTCAGCTCATGACTGGAGGCTGTGAATATATTAGTGACAATTTAAAAAAATAAACATATCCAAATGTTTCTATTTATTTCCATTAATAGCATATTGGCTGATGCATTTTTATCATGCATCTAAAAATGTTACAATATATATATATATATATTTATATATGTGTGCACTGTCTAAATGATCCATAGTGTCACATTTATGTGTGTGTGTGTGTGTGTGTGTTTATATATATATATATATATATATATATATATATATATTAGGGCTGGGAATTTATTAGAAAAATTTAACTAATTAATCGCACAACTTGCTGTGATTAATCGCAATTAATCGCATTTTTTCCCAAAGCTTGTTATCAATACTTATACGTTAAAAATGATACATTTACACAATGAAGTATAGTTTAAACAGAGCATTTTATTACAATGATCTTATGAACTGTAAACGTTCTCTCCTGGGAACTAGTATGGGTAATTCCCATAAAGTGCAACATTATAAAACAAAGTGTATAAGTGTAAGTTGAATTTGATCAGAAATCCTAAATCATCTTATAAAGTAAGGCAATAAGCCAAAAGCAATTTCTTCATATCCACCAACAATATAATTAAACAAAATGTTAAAGTGTAAGTTTAAACTACCAAGATCATCAAAATGGTTGGAACTTAATCCAATGCAAAAACTTTTTTTTTATGCCCCAAACATGTCGCACCAAACAGCCTTTGCACAACCTGGTCTCACAGGATTCCGTGAAATGTCCACGGGCCCTTAACTCAAAATCCGTGGAAACATCACGGAATCGCCGCGAATTCCGTGATGCGGCCACGGATATAACTCCAACGCAAGTCAATGACACTCACTTTCCGTGGTCCACACACGGATACCCGTTTGAATGACGGAGTACAGATCTCACCCAACGGACGTGCTTTCTCATTTGGAAACGCAACATTTGAAGAGTTATAGTTTCTTTTCCAACAATAAAAGCCATAATGACGTTAACCTCTTTATTACAGCTATTGCTCTGTCCTGCCGTCATACAAATTCAGTCTGTTTCAGTTAACCGATGTCCCGTGATGGCACCACGGACCTCAACGACCTCATGGACGTTGTAATGTGGCTTGTTTAGAAACTAAGCTTATGTCTACTCTATTACAAAAATGGCATGTAATTAACTTGACGTTTTGTCCCGTCCTCATAAAATCCATTTTGATGGCGTTTACACCTATTTCTCGCTTGGCTACGGTCAGAACTAAAATCTGTGATAGCGGCACGGAGTGAGTCTGTGCTGATACCACGGATAACTCCAGCGCTAGTCAATGACACTCATCTTCCGTGGTCCACACACGGATACCCGTTTCAATGAAAGAGAACAGATCTCACCCAACGGACGTGCTTTCTCATTTGGAGACGCAACATTTGAAGTATTAGTTTATTTTCCAACATCAAAAACCATAATGACATTGTTATTGTTGCACTGTCTTGCCATATTCAGTTCATTTAGCCTAACCGATGTCCCGTGATGGCACCACGGACCTCAACAACCTGACCTCGTGGACGTGATGTGGCTGGCTTGTTTAGAAACTCAAGCTTTATGTCGAATCTATTACAATAATGGCATGTAATTAACTTGACGTTTTGTTTCTTCCTCATAAAATCCATTTTGATGGCGTTTACACCTATTTCTCGCTTGGCTACGGTCAGAACTAAAATCTGTGATAGCGGCACGGAGTGAGTCTGTGCTGATACCACGGATAACTCCAGCGCAAGTCACACTCATCTTCCGTGGTCCACACACGGATACCCGTTTCAATGAAAGAGAACAGATCTCACCCAACGGACGTGCTTTCTCATTTGGAGACGCAACATTTGAAGTATTAGTTTATTTTCCAACATCAAAAACCATAATGACATTGTTATTGTTGCACTGTCTTGCCATATTCAGTTCATTTAGTCTAACCGATGTCCCGTGATGGCACCACGGACCTCAACAACCTGACCTCATGGACGTTATAATGTGGCTGGCTTCTTTAGAAACTCAAGCTTTATGTCGACTATTACAATAATGGCATGTAATAACTTGAAGTTTTGTCTCGTCCTCATAAAATCCAGTTTGATGGCGTTTACACCTATTGCTCGCTTGGCTATGGTCAGAACTAAAATCTGTGATAGCGGCACGGAGTAAGTCTGTGCTGATATCACGGATAACTCCAGCGAAAGTCAATGACACTCTTCCGTGGTCCACACACGGATACCCGTTTCAATGAAAGAGAACAGATCTCACCCAACGGACGTGGAGACGCAACATTTGAAGTGTTAGTTTATTTTCCAACATCAAAAACCATAATGACATTGTTATTGTTGCACTGTCTTGCCATATTCAGTTCATTTAGCCTAACCGATGTCCCGTGATGGCACCACGGACCTCAACAACCTGACCTCATGGACGTTATAATGTGGCTGGCTTGTTTAGAAACTCAAGCTTTATGTCGACTATTACAATAATGGCATGTAATAACTTGAAGTTTTGTCTCTTCCTCATAAAATCCAGTTTGATGGCGTTTACACCTATTTCTCGCTTGGCTATGGTCAGAACTAAAATCTGTGATAGCGGCACGGAGTGAGTCTGTGCTGACCAACACAACTCCAGCGCAAGTCAATGACACTCTTCCGTGGTCCACACACGGATACCCGTTTCAATGAAAGAGAACAGATCTCACCCAAAGGACGTGCTTTCTCATTTGGAGACGCAACATTTGAAGTGTTAGTTTATTTTCCAACATCAAAAACCATAATGACATTGTTATTGTTGCACTGTCTTGCCAGTTCATTTAGCCTAACCGATGTCCCGTGATGGCACCACGGACCTCAACAACCTGACCTCATGGACGTTGTAATGTGGCTGGCTTGTTTAGAAACTCAAGCTTTATGTCGACTATTACAATAATGGCATGTAATAACTTGAAGTTTTGTCTCGTCCTCATAAAATCCAGTTTGATGGCGTTTACACCTATTGCTCGCTTGGCTATGGTCAGAACTAAAATCTGTGATAGCGGCACGGAGTGAGTCTGTGCTGATACCACGGATAACTCCAGCGCAAGTCAATGACTCATCTTCCGTGGTCCACACACGGATACCCGTGACGGAGTACAGATCTCACCCAACGGACGTGCTTTCTCATTTAGAAATGCAGCATTTGAAATAGCCTTTTCACTTAGATATGCCATGTTAACCTGGCGGCCTATGTTGTTCTGCCATTATAAAAAATCAGTTTGATTCTGTATTTAGCCTAACCAAAGTTCCCACTCACTGAATGTTTTAATGAACTTGCTCATTTAAATTAATTCATCAGGTCAACTCTGTTATCCTAATGGTAATGCAGCCTAATTAACTAGACATTTGCCCTGTCATTGTAAAATTCAATTTGATCACGTTCTCCAAATCGCAGGAAAAATGCCTTATCATTATCTACCACGGATCTGGAATGGATCTGTGGTGGACTCACGGACTTGGTCTCGTTCTATGCGTTGCTTTTGTTTGCTCATTTAGAAATTTGAAAACTTCAGGTCGACTGTGTTAATTAATGTGTTCCATTGCTATTAAGTTTGGAATTAAAATGTCCAAAACCATGGATTTTTATTTTTAAAAGTTTTATTGTGTAACAATATTAAATATTGTTAAACTGATATTATTATAGGCCTAGGCTACTCCTTTTAACATAAAATGCAGGCTTATTAGGATTCTTTGTATTATTTTTATTAATTAATATTCAGAAAATTATGTCATTGCTGCGACGCGTCATAGGTCTACTTCCTCATGCAGGCTACATCCCAGAATTGCGCCCTTTTTCCTATTTTGCGGTCGACGTTCACAGTCAGCAGATCGGTAAGTAACGCTAAAGCTTGTGTTATATGAATTGTTGATTCATTCGAAGCAAATGTAAGACTAAGTTAATTGCTATCAAAAGCCTACCTATCTTTTTATTTATTTATTTATTTTTTTTTTTTTAACACCAGTGTCGGTTGCACAGGGCCCTGTAACGTTAATCCTGTTAAGTTCGGTGTTAATTTCTCCATAATTGCTAGGAGTTCAAATTGCATTAACTACGTACCCAGTGTATGCAACGTTTCTTGCTAGCTAGTCATGTAGAATATCTTAAGCTTTTTACTTATTTTTATTTTTTTTTTATACAGTATAGGCCTATATGTATTTTAAATATAGGCTATGTGTTGAAATGCATTGCAACGCGTTGCTCTATGTTTTACTGTAGGCCTAGTACTGGTATTGGTAGCTTGTAAAATCGAGGACATCACCGTGCCCTGCGCAAGCCACAGCTAAAATCTTGGGTCATTGCGATGAGTGGTCAGTTATATGCGAGGGACACCATACTCACAGACAGACGTTTATTACTTAAAATCTTTGTCAGCATAATTTTATTTGTCAATAGGCTGCTAGTGATTTAGTTAATATATGTAATTTCAAGAGCAACACAAACAGAAAACCAAATAATTCAAAGGGGCTCACAATATTTTGATTTTGACTTAAGCAATAGAACATGTAAAAGATAAAGAGAAAAAAAACCCCAAAAGGGTAAAAAAAAAAACAGCCCAAAAACAGGTTGATTGCATCAAAGACTTATGCATGTCGATGTGGCCAGATGGCATTCTCAACCACAGTATTGCCAATCAGCAATTTGTCGGTTCACAAGAAAGTTAAAGTCATGTCGTGAATGAATTTCATGTAGAAATGAAATGCGAATTTCATGTATGAAATATGCATGTAGAAATGTTTGTTCTAATGGTCATTCTAATAATAATTTCTGTCTGTTACAGATACAAGACAGCTTTACCAAAAAAAGGCACTTTTAAGAGCCATTCTTTCACATTTTTTATATTTATCTATTTCTGTCTCTTTCTTGTCTCTCTCTCTCTCTCTCTCTCTCTCTCTCTCTCTCTCTCACACACACACACGCACACACACACACACACACTCTCTCTCTCTCACACACACACACATTCACTCACTCATACTTACTCATACCATAACTCATATTTCATACAGTAAGTATCCCAAGATTTTTATTTTCTAC